GCTGTATAGATCAGATATTCACACTACGTCAGATCCTACAACATAGACACACATTCAGACGCCCCACAATAGTAGTATTTCTCGACATTGAGGTTGCATTCGATTCTGTTGATCGTAAGGTTCTATGGCAGTGTTTGTCACTGAAAGGAGTACCAAAGAAGTACATTAACCTTATAAAGGCTCTCTACTCGAACACAACTGGTAGAGTGAGAGCTTATGGCGAACTGTCATCAGAATTGATTACCTCAAGTGGTGTTCGTCAGGGCTGTCTACTCTCTCCATTCTTGTTCAACTTTGTCGTCGACGTATTTTTAGAGATAACACTTTCCTCGTCTACATTTCCAAGGGTTGAACTTCTACCGGGAGGTTCACTTGTTGACTTAGAATATGCTGATGACAGTTTTATTTGGTGAAGACGCTGACAAAATGCAGAGTCTTCTGACTACTCTAAGCAACAATGCAAGCACGTTCGGGATGCGATTCTCCCCCTCGAAATGCAAAATGTTGCTTCAGGATTGGGTTGCATTGACACCCGAACTAATGATAGGGTGTGAAGTAATTGAGCGTGTCTATCGCTTCACTTATCTTGATAGTCTCATCAGCCCTTGTGGTCTGGTGTGTGACGAAATCTCAGCACGGATACAGAAGGCTCGACCAGCTTTTACCAACTTGCGTCATTTATGGCGTAGGCGAAATATCCGTCTATCAACCAAAGGACGTGTTTACTGTGCAGCAGTTCGTTCCGTCCTACTTTATGGCAGTGAAACATGGCCGGTAAGAGTAGAGGATATTCGTAGGTTACTAGTATTTGACCATAGGTGTCTTCGAAATATTGCTCGTATATCCTGGGACCATCGAGTAGGTAACGCATTTGTTAGGAAACGGGTACTAGGTAAGGATGGCAGATCGATTGGCGAAGTGGTGAAGCTTTATCACTTGAGATGGCTGGGACAAGTGTTACGTATGCCGAACCACCGACTGCCTCGACGTGCGATGTTCAATAGTATAGGAGTAGGTTTGAAGAAAGCTAGGGGTGGCCAGACCAAAACATGGCACAAGTCCATGAAGTCACTGACAAGTGGACTGAGCTATGTTGGTAGGTGTAGACTACCTGGTTGGGGAACGCGAGATGATAGCAACCGATGGTTAGACCCTGAATGACATGGCTCAAAATCGTTTGCAGTGGCGCAAGTGCACCAACTCTTTGTGTTCTCCCAAATTCTAATCTTCTGATTTCTTCATGTCCCTTGTTTTTCCTCTTTCCAAATTTATTTCACTGGATTATACTCTTTGAATAACATCTTCAAACCCTAATTTTTCTGATTGCAGCTTATAATTTTACTACATCTAGCACTACGGAATTTGAATCGACCACTGCATCTCTGTTGTAATGTGGTGTGGCAGCTCGAACTGATGTAAGTACGTACGAAGTTCTACGTTGTTACTGACTGACTTACTTATTATTTATTAGTAGAATGACCAGAGGAACAGAATGCTGACTGCAGAGGCGAGATACGTAGTCGTATTTCTTTTCGGTCGTCGAGTGGTTTGTGGGAGATGTACTCGCTCTCGTTTGTTACAAAACGGTAATAAGGCATGATACCAATATCAGTGCATATGATTATCGATGACGGCGAGAGAAACTGACTTGGTTGTGACGAACAATAGTGTATCATTGAGAGATTAGCTCTAAACTCGATGTTCTGATATACAGTGCGATGGGATTAAAATATTAATTGCAATAATCTTGTAATATTTGTATGTAACGAATAATACAACATGCAGTTATACATGTGAACGAATAGATAAGATGAACATAATCGTTACTATCAGCTAGTAGAGTTAGAGGTACTCACAGACATAATAGGAGGCAATATCGAAATGAAAAATGTGTGGTATGATAACATAAAAAATGAATAAGTGTAATAATAGACCAAATATGACATGAGAAAAAATGGGACGAACTCACTTAAAGCAGCAAAATTTCACGTTATTGAATAATAAAAAATAGTCCAGTGAGCTTTAAATGTCATAAAGTGGTGTTCATAAACTTATAATTTGTTCGGTGAGTGATATGATTGCGTAAATGTCATAATTTAATGTCAGCACGAACAAAAATAATAATTCTACGTTAGGTGATAATATGACACTAATGTGATAATGAGACTGTGATAATTATTTGAATCATAATGGAACAATCTGCCGGATGGATCAATAAGCAAAGTTGACATGAGGACAAAGTATCAATAAGATAATACGATTTGAGCATGTCCATGTCGAGGTGCACAGGGTTTGCTGAGTGTGTCCCATTGAAGATCGAACTGCATTCGCTGACTTTGTTCGTCGAAAGTGTAGAGTGCCGTTTTTTCATCGATGTAGCTTGCTGCGTTAGGTTCGTCGGTGGCGGGCTCACCACTTTAGTGGCTCGAGATCTGACTCCAATTAGATCTTATGAATGATTGCTATTGAAATATATTTCACCTATCCTCATATATAATCATCGACTTAAATTGCATTAGTGTTTAATGGAATTAAATTTTGAATACATATATTTTGTACAATCATTGATCTGGACAGACAATCAGAGGAACGAAGCGAATAGAAAAGAGCTAAGGGAAATGACTGGCGGCGGAGAAGGCGTGTAAGCCAACTCCATTTAATCAAGAGTTAACCAATATTTCTGGTCACACGAAAATAGGCTACATATATGTGACGAGTAGGATAAGAAGTGTGCACACAAATGCTTATATAAAAGCAGCCAGGCTTGATAAGCGAATAATTAACAAGGTCGAAACGTGACTCAAGAAGAATGAATAAATCGGCCTGTCCAGAAGCTAGAATAAGCTATGTGGGCTTAAAATAGTAAACGACACTACAAAGTTCCTCTGAGATGGACTACAGCCCTCGTAAAACGTTTCTATCATCTTCACTGTCATCATTGGTGTATACATAGCATTGAATAACACTCATTGTGACCCTTTCCTCTTTTGTTTTTATGAATGCCTTAATGATCCTGGAGCCGTGTATTTCGCATCCTAAATTTCCTTGTTTTCTCCTTTGAAGGGCATCAGTGCAATCTGTTGTGTGTATGAAGGATGTTCTCTTTCATGACTAAAAGATAACTGGATCTTGTGAATATAGTCTTTTCTTCTCAGCTGGTGTTCAGTGGGTTTGACTTATTCCAAACTGGGCTAGGTTGTATGTCCTCTTTTCTACAGCTATTTGAATGACCCTCCTGGTCCTACATTGTCCAGATGTTTCATTTTTATATAATAGTTGTTGCTCTGGTTACTAAAAGGTTATTGACCTCGAGGCATTAAGGCATCTCAGATTTCACCGTGAAGCATCATAAATCATTTTTTGGTTAGCTAGTTGTAATGAGGTTCATTTATGCTAAGTGGAGTTGCAAACCCCTACTCCTAACCCTCTTTCATTACCCGGATTCGGAAGAGGCAGTAGCTTCATCCGGCTTCCATGAGGTATCATTATTGCTCGATTAACTAATGAGGACTAAATTCTTCTTACGCTGAAGAAGTGGATTAGATGAAGTCACGAAACGTCAGAAATACAATTTTCTACTCATTGGGATATAACAAGAAAACATATTAATTATTAACTTCCTACCCGTTACTCAGTTTATTCGAAAAAGTCTAGCCTTGGCATTGATACTATTACGTCCATGATCTGTCTACCTAATAGTATGCCGGAAATAACTTGTTTAAATCTAGATTAAGGCTTTGACATTGTAGGCTGACTGGTTCAACCTTGAGGCTAGAAACGCGTGAGGTCGAAGTGAGACTAACTGCCTTGGGTAGAGAGACGAAAACTATTCTATCACCTGATTGGCTGACAAGCACGCATGAGTGAGAGGACAAGTTAAGTGGAACACTACTCGATTTATTCCGAATTCCGATTCACACTTCGAACTGGTTCCGACTTAGATTAGTGTAAAAAGATACACGAATAAATAGATGACTAACAACATCACAAGGCACAACAACTAGAAAATACAATTATGTCCAAAACTAGGCAATTGGGTAGAAAAATATAGTACTAAAGGTTTCGTTTAAATTACAATAGATTTGGAACAAGAAGGGTTATAACAATGAATCATAAATCAAACGAAAGCTTGTGATTTGTAGAAAATAATAGTAACAAAATAAATGTTAGTGTTTTACGAGCTTTGGATTAAATGGAATAACGTCCACAAAAGAGCTTCCGTAGTTTGTCCTAGCTTCTTGATTCTCTGTTCACGTCAGATACCTGCAAACCTAGGAGTCATTATTTCCGCGTGCATACGAAGACCAAATTAATGTTCTACGATTTCATCAATAGCTGAAACCGATGTTTATAATTTGTCAAAGTAAAACTAGATATATTTGCACTGTCTCGTCCGTATATATATGTTTGAGAATTCCTTTTATTCAATAGAGATAGGACAAAACGGAACTTTACGTAAGTCGGTCCGTTTAAGTTGTCCCACTTATTAATAACATAGTCATAAAAACCAGAGTCATTAAAATAAGTAAAAGAAAATATATGGTTAGATAGTGAAGAGGCGACTTGTACGACCAAACTCCTGTTACAGGCTTTAACATAAATTTACAATATCATGTAAGAAATATATCTTGGATACGTTTTACTTTGGTTATTGTACTCAAACAAAATCATGTTTTGTTCCCTAATTTCATATTGTTTTCGACTAGAAATTCTGGATAATAAGGCGATATCTGAACCAAATAGACAATTTTTAGAAAATTGGAACCAGTATAAGAGTTTTAATCTCGAATTGTCAAGTAAGTCAAGTTTATACTATTAGTTTATATATATATATATATATATATATATATATATATATATACTGCTGGTCTCAAGCTCGGGTAAAGTAGGAGGTTTCGGCGTGGGGTCTGCAACCCCATCTCGTAGAAAACAACCTTGCTAAAAAGACGTTAACCAGATTAAACAAATCAAACCATTTAAACTCTGCCCTGGGAGTTGAAGGAAGAATTATGACGTCTCTCAATGAAAGCCGAGATTTTTCGGAACTCACGAGACCGATGCCCACTCTAACAACCAGAGCAACAATTTTTAAAGGTACATGGAACGTCCGGACAATGTGAGAGACCGGGAAAACCAGTCAAATAGCAACAGAAATGAGGAGATACTGCTTGGCGGTGCTCGGAATAAGTGAAACTTTTCGGACTGAAGCTGGACATCAAAGGTTAGATACGGCAGAGATGCTGCTGTACTCTGGTCACGAAGAGGACAATGCTCCACACACTCAGGGAGTCGCTCTTATGCTGTCCAAAGTAGCACGAAACGCACTTATTGGGTGGGAATCTCATGGATCCACAATCACAAAAGCATCATTCGAAACAAAGAAGGAGGATATCACAATGAATGTTATGCACCCAACAATGATAGCAATGACGACAATAAAGATCAATTCTATGAGGCTGCAATCAATCGTAGAGAAGTGCCCAAGAAAGGACCTCACCATTATGATGAGAGATCTAAACACTAAAGTCGGGATAGACAACACCGGATATGAAAATATCATGGGACGACATGGACTGGGAGAGAGAAACGAGAATGGGGGAAGATTTGCAAATCTATGTGCATTCAACAAAGTGGTTATAGGCGGCACAATATTCCCACATAAACGTATACACAAAGCTACATGGATCTCACCGGACCACACCGCGGAGAACCAGATAGATAATATTTGTATCCATAAAAAATTCCCAAGGACAGTGAAAGATGTGAGAACCAGGAGAGGAGCTGACATAACTTCGGATCACCACCTGGTGGCGGCCAACATGAAACTGAGGTTAAAGAAATACTGGACAACTGGGGGAACAGCATACTGTGGAAGAGAACAAACCAACTTCCAGCTGAAGAGGAAATTAGGAAAATATTTCAAAGATGTATAGGATGTACATTGAGGAAATCATCAAGCTGCATCACCAGGCAAGCGCTAACTTGGAATTATGGAGGGGAACGGAAAAGAGGAAGGCCAAAGAACAGTGCGTCGGGAAGCGGAAACAGATATGAAGAAGAATAAATAGCAACTGGAAAGGATTGCTCGGGATAGAGTTGGATGGAGAATGATTGTGGGCGGCCTATGCTCGTACACATGGGGTAACAGGCATAAGTACATATATATAATTGGACATGGATATCTGATACACAGTATTTTGATTTTTAAACTAATTATATGTTTTTGCTTGAATCAAACTTGCCAGAAATTCTTTTTTTACGAAGAATGTTAATTTCCTTCTTCATACTGAGATAAAGTTCCTACCAAAAAATATATTTCATAATCTATTTAGAGGATAAGATAAGACAAGAGGATCATCAGCCTTTACTTCTAAGCTAGTCTTCAACAGCATGTCGAGCTTCCAAGTTCCATCATCTTCATCGTCCGATTCATAGAATCTTGATAAAATACCAAGCATTGGTATAATACAGTCATCCTATGCTCATGGTGCCATATTATAGAGTGGCTACCTACCTTCTGTCCCTCATTAACTCATATTCACAAGTAATAATCAGCGAAATGTGCCTGAGCTACAAAATTGACACTTTAAAATACATCCACTGCTCAGATTTTGTTCACTAGAACCTGGGATTACGCACATGTTGTCTTCGCCGACTATGAGTTGTAGTACGGATATAAAGATAATCTAAGCAGTCCTGTCTGAAATTATCAATTCAGATAGACCAGTTCTTACAAGTGTGAGGTAGAACTACTTGCGCCAAAGTATGGTACACCTGACCTTTTACAACCAAGGGGATGGCCTAGAGGTGAGTTGGATGGTACATACGTAAATGATTTCTGTATGCCACTCACACCAAACTAAAGACATATAGGTGGGTCTGAGGTATCAAACATCCGATGAATGGTCCGGTAATTTCGATTCAAGTTCATTACTGATGTATCTATACAAACTCACCTAAAAGATTCTTGTTGATTGCTGGTGTGCCTCGTAAAGCTGAACATAATCACACAACACCTGATACACTAATACATTAATCCAAGCCGATAAATTTACATGGATATACCTTTAGTAAATGACAAGGGCCTAACATATTAGAAAACACTAACTACCTTGAAATTAATAAATTGTAGATATATTCATCTCTTATCTTCGTTGTGATTCGTATTGCCTTCCAGCTGATTTTCTCTTCTTATGCTTTTGGAAATTTAGTTTGATCCTCTTTTGTATAAAGTTTTCTTTAACGATATTTAACTACATATTATAGGTTCGTCCTTTCTCGAAACAATATAAAAAATGAACATGTTTGCTCTACGTTAATTGTGTGATGTTAGAGAAGATTCGTTGCTTAGGTGGATAATTGTGATAGTGTTTCAATTTCTGAGCTGGATGGTTTAGTCGTAATTGATTAGTAAATTGGGTCCATTTCAATGTGTACATTATTTGGTGGTTGAACTAAGTCCTAAGCTTCTGTGAAATCTATGATATTCTTTATATTTCTTCTATCGAAAATCTCAGTATTTTCCCAGTCGAACTTGTGCCCACGTTCATTGGTATAAGTAAAAATACCTCATGACCCTTGACATCCCGTCGGTGTTTATGAAGACGAAGATGAAGAGGATACCCACTTTTTCGTATGTAGTGTTTCAATTGAAAAATTTTGTTTTGTAGATAATGTTAGGATTTTCTTCTTGTCATTTCGTCTTTTGGTTTTCGTAAAATTGATAGAAAGGATGTTTTTGTTTATGTATCAAACCTAATCCAAACATTCTCAATAATCTTGTAATCTCTGATATGTATTTTACATATGGTAGGATGATCCGTTTGTTGGTTTCCGCGTTTGATTTCGGCTTTGGTAATGAGTTTGCTTGATATTTTTCAGCGGACTTGCTTAGATAACCGCTCTCAAAAAATAGTCACTAAATATTTATTTCCATTCTATTCTGTGTTTTAGTGTGCTTTTGATCCTCTGAACGAAGTTTGTGCTCAGTTGGTTTTGTGGATCTTTGCTACTGTAGTTGATAATATGTTCTGTGTAGTCCCATTGGTTTGCTTTTTGCTTGCTCGTAGATTTTATTGTAGACCTGAAAGTACGTTATTAAGCATGAATCAGTGAGTCCTAGTAAGCTTTGAAGCTCGGTGTACTTTGAAAGTTTTGCGTCACTGTTGATGGGCAGGGTTAAGGTGTCCTCTGCTAATTTTGGTTCAACCGAGGCTAGTAAGGCTGCAACGTTGAAGGATATCATAATTTCACTGTTGTTGATTTGAATCTCCTTAATCTTTTCCGAGAATTATATAAGAAACTTAGTTGAGTGATAAGTTGAAATCACCAAATATCTCAATGTTCTTGGAATTTCTCTCGGTAAGTAGTACGCTTGGGTTCCAGGGAGTTGGTACAGCAGAATACAGTTGGACTTTTGGTTTGCATCGTTTCGGTCTGCCACATAATCAAGGGGCGATGATCTGTTAGATTCCATCCACCACTGATCTTGTTTTAATATTTGTATTGCTTTGGTAAGCTTGTTTAAAGTTCTAGGGACCTAGTTGTCTAGATTTTTGATTGAATTAGTGTCCATCAATTTGTGTACGCAGATCAGTCATTATATCACACTGGATTCTGTCGGTCACCTAACTAGTTATCGGTGAACACCGTGCGCCGATTGGTTACTCTTTGTGAGACTACATAGGGTTAAATAGGACTACAATAAATCGTGAAAATAGTTTAGATACTCACGTTCTATATAACCAAGGTTAAATTCTAATGATTTTTTAAGGATGACTTTCAGTTCAATACTCCGGAATCCAGAAAGCATGGAATAATTTGTTCTACCTTTGATGCTTTGTAGAAACTCGAAATATAGGACAATTACGTAGCATTCTCAAACTTTAGCCAACAAATGAAACAATCTTTCGCTCAATATTTTTCTGTTTTGTTCCGTTAATTACATTTTTGTTACGAAATTTCAGGATGTCCTATGAACAAGCAAATTACACTTGGTTCGAAACCTGAACTGATAGACTTATTACATCAATAATTTAAAAAAGTCCTCTGCAAGTTGTGAATTGCGACGAGAATGAACAATATAAGTGTTCATTTGTTTAAAAAATCTATTTATGTTTATTTCACTTGTGAGCTACATCCCGATTTCAGTCAATAAAAATTTATGTAGACCCTGTATATATTTTTGAAATCGCAATATAATTTATTCAAAGGGGAATGTAGAAATAAACTAACACTGACTGTAGAAATATTGATAATCAAGGAGCACTGGACAGCTGTTTTGTTTCACTTTTCTAGACTTCTTAACAGTCTACACTTATGTTTCCAAACCGTTTCAGAATTTGTTAATTTATTATTGTACTGCATCAATTTTCAGTCAAAAGTCATCATTACGCTAGTAACGAGTTATTCGCATCATGACTTTTGATTACTTACGAAGCATGTCTGTAACCCCAAAAACGGTACTGCTTGATGATGTGCTGTCCAGTACTTTACCGGTAAGGCAATTGATCGATAATGATAGGTCACACCTGAATTATATTTTTTCACTGTCTGATGTCTTTAAAGTTAACAGAATCACTGAGTGAGCAATCCCATTCTACGGTGTAGATAGTAAATCGCATGATGAGGCCAAGCGCTTTGATATGCTGAGGTAGTGAAAAAATGTATAAGGGATTACAACTAATTATAATCTAATTGAACGCTAGATCCGGTTTCCCAAGCTCTTCTAGTAACCCCCAGGCTAAATATACACAGCATCTTGAACACGAGAGAAAAGGTGCGAGTTATGGAAAAAAGCTTTACTCTAAGGTTCGTTAATGTACAGAAAGTCTGAAGTATTTATAACATTTTAGATGGCTTTTGGCCTACGAAAAATTCTGGAATGTTACTAAACATAATAGCAATATAGGTAATCCAATCAGAAATTCGACATGTGACTCACTTTCTAAGTGTTTCTGGCAAAACTTCAGTTGAATACTGATAGGATAAGGGGTTTCTGAGCCGTTTTGTTGGCTGTTTTCGAGCAATATTCTAGATCTCAGCATACAGAATTGTTACGAGGACGAAAATGACCCATTAGCTACATATTCTGTTTTTTATTATTTGTCGATATAAGATTCAATTCATATGTGTGTGTGTGTATTCAGCCACTACATGTAGATTGTGTTAACCAATGCAAAGTAAAACCAGTCAGACCATGTTAAATCTAGTGCTTAGATTCTTAATATACCGGATATAACTTGAGAAATGGAACTCTAGAGCCCTCGAAGTCGCAAATGAGAAGACAAGTGAAAAGAAGGCTATTACAAACAATGTCAATTATGGTACAAAATTGTCAGGTATTTATAGTTTTAGAAAAAACGAACTCATTATAGTCCTCCAATTTGCATACAGGGGGTTAATAGTATTTATACAATAGGGAAGCAACGCGTAGTAACTCTCGAACGTTCTTTCAAAGATGATTGGGCGGGATATCTTCGGCTCATTCTGAGCCTTTTAGGGCTTCCTCGAGTTAACCTATGAACTGCCTTCACAGACCACTGTGGTAACTAGGATCAGGATCGAACGCAAAAAACTAGAAAAATACTTAAAAAGTTGGAAGAAAATGAAAAAAAAATCGTCAAAAAATGATTGTTCAAGTCGGTGCAAAATTGATTAAGATAATTAAACAAACATAAAAGATGCGAAGAATATGAGAATACGTTAAAGCGTATCAACTCGCAAAAATATGATTCGCAAAAACATACAAGACGATAAAAATAAATTGCATATCACAAGAAAAGAAATGTCAACTAGCCTCGTTCACACCAAACCGATCATTGAACACACTCAATGAAACGTCGATTGATCGAGCCAGTGAGTGAGTGAGTGATTGAGTGAGTGCGTGCGTGCGTGAGTAAGTATGTCAGTAAGTGACAATTGACTTGATCTGTGTGTTGAGGATGGATAAGATTTGATTTGCACCCAAGACATCCGACCACCATACTACTGTGCAATTGATATTAGCCCCATGTGTAGGGCTGCCAAAGAAAACTTCGATTCTTGGTCGACGGTTCTTACCATGCAACAAATCACAAGAGTAAAACCGTGACGGTTAATCCGAACCGCTCACAGTCTACCAACCCTACTATCGAACAACACCTCACTCCCATTCATCCATTTGCAAATTAATCATCTCTGTCAACACAACCACCACTCGACAACAGCAAACACAACACT